ATTCTTCAATTTTTCAATTTTGGGATATTTTAGTATTTCGACTTTTGGATTTTTCGCGTTCTGGATTTTTTTGAACTTTCTTTCGGTTTTCACAATTTTTCAACTTTTCGATATTTTAAGTTTTCAATTTTTAAAATTGTAAGTTTTTCGATTTCTCGAGTTTTCAGTTCTATTTTCGAAATTTAAAGTTAATTATAAGTTACTTTTTTAAAAGACACATTAGAACACGAACAAAAGCAGAGTAAGATGCGGTACGAATAAAAATACAGGGTGTGAGTGAGAATTTAACAATTTGCAGTCGACTCACATTTGGTTTTTGCTCGAAGTATGACCTCGGTGGACACAAATAATTGTAGAAAGATCCCACAACTTTGCCGAATTGTCCATTTTTAATACCCCCGATTTCCGGACCATAAAAAATTTCTCCTAGCATGAAATTTTTATTAAACCCTGTAAATTACTCCGGCTCTTCCGGCTCCGCCTGCGAATGTTAAATGATTAAAGAAAATCACAGTCGAGCCTCATCCTTTTAGACGGAATATTTAATAAAAGTTCCGGAGCTCCCAGCAACGTCAGACCTTTCGTAACGTCGAGAGCCACTGCAGTTCCAGATACGTTACGCAACCCGTTTTGTTAAAGGCGGCGAAATGCCAAAGGTCGCCGCTAAATCCCTTTATTTCGACGTTAACTACGCATCCGGATAAATTTCGTCAAGTGTCTATTATTGACTAAATCAACGCAAACACGTCGGGGAAATTTAGCGTTAATGCGTAAAGGTTGAATTTTCTAGCGTAAATATAATCAATCTTCGCGGAGCGGCGAACCGGCGCATCCACCAATTTTACGAATTCGAGTCTCGTAAAACGTGCGAGAAAAATTTTATGCTTTCATCAATCTCACTTCGTTTCGGCCCGATAAGCTCTACGTCTTAACGGGTTTTTAATGAGGCTGCGACGAAACAAAAAATTCAAGCTAATTGGGGGTGATTTTCCGACATGAAACAACTGTAATTAAAACTACCCGTGTAGCGAATTTCGATGTTTGCAATAATTAATTAATCGCCGGAGAGCACACGCTACTAAATACATATTTATAATTTGAATAATACAGTCGAACGAACATGGAATAAAACCCAATTTTCATTACTAAATCAAAATCACCATCTCCGCCCAGAAGAAACGAAACATGTTGCTACGTTTTCGAGAAAACAACCAGCACGCGATCGTATTAATCAGGATTCAAGGACTTGCCAAAACCTGGCTAATTTATTTTAGTTATAAATGATACGGTTTTAGTAATTGATTGCCTTTTTAATTAAAGAGAAATCACTTTGTGATAGAAATTGACAGTAAGTAGGCGGAGGTAATATATTTGCTTTTTTTATCACGTGTATAAATAACATTTTCGTCCCAAATTAGTCGTTTTATTTGTGACGATGATGTTACGATTAACGAGTTTAAGATCGTGCGTCACTCACAAAGCGCAAAAAAAATTGGTCTAAAGAGTTTAGACAGTACTTCCCTCGCTGTTGGAAACTTGACGACTGCATGCCTATTGTGTTTTTTTTCTCATTACATTTTTGTAGTGGGAATTTAAAAAAAAATGCGATGACGTCATCAACATTTTTGCAAGGACACGTATATCAGTTGGGATAGATGTTGTGTAATACTAAGAATAAAATTATTATATTCTCAAATTTTCGGGAAAATGAATTGGGTCGTTTGAATATTGATAAAATAACGAAACAATTTACTCACGTATACCTACGTATCAGAGGCAACTGAAAATCGTGTATGTATAAACATTCTTAATTTAAGATGACAGGCGTAACAGCATACGTGAGAGTCAAACAGAGAAACTGTAAACAAAACGACCATCGGTTTTATTGCTTCGACTTCCGCTTATTATATAAAACATTGGGTTTTATTTTAATTCTTGACGGTGAAATTCACAATTGGTTGATTATAAACATGTCTATTTCACATTCGAGGAACCAAGTGAGCGCATAAAACAAATGCAGGTCTGTAATGTTAAAGTCGATGTAAATAAGCGTGCTACCCTTATGTTTCAACCGAGTTTTTCCTTTAACAAATTTTGTGTCTACCAAATTGGGTTGGTTGGGGTGTAATACTAATAATAAGTGTTGCCTTTAATTTAATCAATAAAATAAATTGACTTCATTAATTTTTTTGAACCACCTCTTAAGAAAATCTAAAAAATATGAATGGAATGATAAATCACAAGTACAAACTCATCATATTTTTTGCATTTTAGATAGGATTTGTTCAGCAAAATTTAAGGGTGACGTCATCAATTTTTTTAGGAGGGATGAACAAATACATTTTGAACAAAAGTTTACCATGCTTATAATAACTTTAAAATATTCCCAAGATTTCAAAGCATTAGGTTTTCTAATTCCTGATTAAATCGATAAAATAAATTCACGCCTTCATTAATTTTTTTGAGTCACCCTGCATATGCAAATCCAAAAATATGAATGGAATGATAAATCACAAGTACAGACTCATCATATTTTGTACATTTTAGATACGATTTATTCGGCAAACTTTTGAGCTGACGTCATCAGTTTTTTGTAGAAGATAACCAAATATATTTTGACTAAAAATTTATTATGCTCTTTATAACCTTAAAACATCTCCAAGATTTCAAAGCATTCGGTTTTGTAGTTCCTGATTAAATCAATAAAATAAATTTACGCATTCATTAATTTTTTTGAGTCACCCTGTATATGCAAATCGAAAAAATTTGAATGGAATGATAAATCACAAGAAGAGACTCACCATATTTTGTACATTTTAGATAGGATTTTTTCAGCTAAATTTTGTGGTGACATCATAAATTTTTTAGGGGGGACGACCAAATACGTTTTGATCAAAAATTTACCATGCTTATGATAATTTTAAAATGTCTTCAAGATTTCGAAGCATTCGGTTTTGTAGTTCCTGAGTAAATCAGTAAAATAAATTTACGCTTTCATTTATTTTCTTGAATCACCCTGTATATGCAAATCCAAAAAATATGAATGGAGTGATAGATCACAAGTACAGACTGATCATATTTTGTACATTTTAGATATGATTTATTCGGCAAATTTTCGAGCTGACGTCATCAAGTTTTTGGAGGGGATAAGCAAATATATTTTGACTAAACATTTATTATGCCCTTTATAACCTTAAAACATCTGCAAGATGTCAGAGCATTCCGTTTTGTAGTTCCTGATTAAATCAATAAAATATATTTACGCATTCATTAATTTTTTTGAGTCACTCTGTATATGCAAATCCAAAAAATATGAATGGAGTGATAAATGACAAGTACAGGCTCATCATATTTTGTACATTTTAGATATGATTTATTCGGCAAACTTTCGAGCTGACGTCATCAAGTTTTTGGAGGGGATAAGCAAATACTTTTTGACTAAAGATTTATGATGCTCTTTATAGCCTTAAAACATCTGCAATATTTCAAAGCATTCTGGTTAGCAGATTAAAAATTAAATTTCAAAATCTTGTTTTATAATTTTGATTTTTTTTCCAAAAATCTGGACGTTTCGGGTGAAAAGTCGATTCAGAGTTGTAAACTACATGTGTAGGACTATGTTATTTTATACAATTGAAAACCCATTTACTATGTACAATTTTGAAGTGACGTCATCGCATTAGTGGTGGGGATGATTAGACAAATTTTGGTTAGCGTTTTACCATCTACATGATATTCTTAATATAAGTACAGAATTTCACAACAATCGGTCGAGTACTTTCGGAGATTATCTGTCTAATAAAAATCCGGGACAACAGACGGACAGACGGACGGACAGACAGACGGAAATGGGAGACCTATTTCTTCGTCTTCTAGGGGTCATGAAAGATCGAGAAAACGTAAAAGTAGAGAGTCGGCCGACGGACTCGATTACAATACTTCCTTTGCTTACGCTCGGGAAGTAATAATCGTGCTTGGAGACTGGAACCCTGAGGAGTCCCGTTCCGATTAAAACAAGGATGTTATAATTGTGTAACTCGCTCCCGGAACTTTAAATCAGGAGTTCTGTGTACTTTATAATAAACGTCGTCAACATTTCCATCATCGGCTTAAGTTCCAGAGGAAAGCGTATCGTAAAGAACCGGAAAGTTGGCTTTTTTAAAACCGTATTATCGCAGGGAACACTAGATCAAAAGCAACCTCGACTTGACATTCCCCATTAGCGAAAACTAAATCCAGACGTGTTGATGTATAGTTTGAACATTGTTGTATCGAGTTAGGTGAGAAACGCTTAAAGTAAACTGTTTAATTACACTGGAGTGACGTCTGTAACACTTGATTGAAATCAAAATGAAGTTCACTGTATTTTGTGACACTTGTTTTTTTATCATCTTAGGTTACATAAAGCGATTAATTACGACTTCGACCATAAAACATATAAGTTATGATCCAGCAATAAGTGCGATTCCTGCGCCCATAAATAACAGCTCAAGCACTTAGTGTATAATGCAGGCAATATTTATTAGGAACCTGACAAGTTTATAAATGAATTAATACAACCTTTCCTCTCGCATAACAAATGTTCGCCTGTTTTTCTCACTCAAAACGTGCTCTAGAATGATTTTGACAATTGTATTATTTCTGGAAGCGTTCCAGGCGGGTCTGGAAACTTTTAAAACGCGCCTTAATTTTTCTAGCGCGTATCCTTGGCAAAAAAACACAAAATTAATTATTCATCTCGGTACGTACGGGCGTGTATGTACCGGTTAAAATGAGCCACAAAAACTGGTTTACCAATTTGTTGCGCGTTTTTGTACAATTAATCTTTAAAAATTGTCTGACCTGAAATCGCACGCGAGCGTTTTCGGATTTATAATCGAACCCTCCGGAAAAACAAGCCTAAAGTTTAATAAAAGTTACGGCGCGAACGGGAAGTTCCTAATAAAAGTAAAAATAGATACTCGGGCGCGCGGACTTCTTTTTAAATTAGAGAGGCTCACCTCACGTTTTCGTGCTTCTGGATGTAGATCTTGTGGAACTGGCCTTCGACCGGCGATATGATGTCGTTTTTCATTTCCATTGCGACATGCTGTGGCAACACTGATAAAAGTAGCCTCTCCTGCAAAAATATGCAAATTAATTGGCGAGCATTATTAGCTCGCTCTGAATATTTTAATTCGGCTCCTAATACGGCCGACTCCGGTGATTAATTAAAATTTCACGTCTCATTTCGCGCCCCAGTCGCATCGATACTGCGCCATCAATTATTCGCCGAAAACCGTCTTCTCTTACCAGTTTCTCGTTCTCGTCCTCCATCTCCAGCCGCGCCGCTATGCAGTTCCTCGTGTCCAAAAACGCCTTCCTCTGTGCATGCTCCATCAGGTTGTGGGTGAACACCCCGACCACGTTCACGCATAAAAAAACCACCACGTTGGCGCTCAGCTGCGACAGAAAAAACATAATCAGATTAACTTTCGAAACGTCGAACAATGATGAGACGATGTAGTAGCCACCAGGACTTGATTTTTGGATTGATACATTAAAACCGGGACAAAAACGAATACGAGAAAACGCTAAGAGAGATGTAGAGGGCAATTCGATGCCCCCAACTGATTCACAGTGCGTCCCTCCCACAGACGTCAAATAAATCTTATCGCTGCGGGGTACACGTGTTGCGATATTATAGACCCAACTCTGTTATTGCAGCCAAGGATTATGAATACTCCGTTCCGGGCTTTATAAGAAAAATTACAACTAATATCGAAGTTCGTCTGAACCTGGAAACGTGACGAAATTAACATCGCCAGGAAAACAGAAGCACGAAACTGGTCTAAACTAAACCAAACTCGACAACTCTATGATCCCGATGAAAATTTAATTTATTGTGATGAATTATGTAACACACAAAACGCCAACAAAAACTTAAAGTTCTCGTGTCGCCGATAAATTCATCGCAAGAATTCCAACACTGCCAGAGAACTCAATCAAGCGTACGTCATTTAATTGCATTCACTCGTTGCTTTTTGCTTGTACCTACACAGTACAGCGTTTTTGTAATTTAATTGGAAGTTCGTCTTAGTGGAATCGCATCGCGAAAACTAAACCATTAGAAAATCCCCGAATTTAGTCGAAAAAACTGGGTTTAACGAGATGGGGAAGTTCGCGGAGTGGAAATAGTAAAAGTGACGTCTAATTTTAGCTCGTCAATTTCGTGTAACACTGTGCCGAAATCGTTCGCTGATTAGCGCTAACCTTTAATGCCTTATTTCGGTCTCTAATGAGCAGAGGGTAATAAACTGGGGTTTCGCCCTCGCTTTACAAATTAGATTCGTCAGCTAATTCGCTATCTAATCAGCTATGGCAAGTCTGTAAATATGTGGCGAAGCATAAAACGTCATTGGGGGTGCGGATTTTGAGTACTTTTTTATTATTTATCTCGAAGTCGAGAAGGGTCGCAGCGGGCACGTTTAGATGGAAGATAGATTTTATGCATCCATTGCCGGGTTGCTACTATCGTTATACTTCACTAATTGGATAATAATAAATAGAGTCAATCCGTTATCCGTTCATGCGAACTCGTTTGAATAATCCCTCGATATTATCCTATTACGTTTCATGGATTACGTCTACGACAGTTCTAAAACTAACTTGCTTTTGCACTATTACATTACTTTTATTCCGACGGCCGCTTAATAATTGTCGTCTTTTTCATTTCCCCGTCACATTTCGGTAATGGCAGGCGTCATTTCCTCTTCGGAATTGTACTTTAAGAAATTGAAAAAAGCGCGAGTTTATTTTATTCGGGAATACTGAAAGTCGCGTTTTTAAAAAAGCGACAAAGGGGTGTTTTAAATTGACATTTATTCGCTTTGAAAATTATCTTTTAAGCAACCGTTTCTTGTAAAAATTTTGAACAAGCCAATGAAAAATGTGCTGAAACAACTGTGGGCGTGGATTCTTGTTACGGAGTTTCGAATCAGTAAAGAGTCTTAATTTCAAGAGATTCCGTATCGGGATAACTAAATTAGTTTATTCGAAAAAATTTTCGATGTGAGAAAAATTTAGCGCAAAAATGAAAGTCTTCTGATCGACTTAAAAATCCAATTTGTAGCTACGTTTTCCAACGGAAAAGCGAATTTTTCAACTACGAAAATTTTTGTTTAATTTTACCGGCTTATCGACCACGAAAAAATTTTCAAAAAGTCTACGGGCTTATAATTGTATTATTTTGGGGCCCATTGAGATTTTTTTTTGCAAATTATTTAAAACAATCTTTCGGGGAGTTTTTGAGTGGATTTTAGGAACTCGTTTTTCTATTTTTGGAAAATTTTCGAAATTACACTTAATACATTTTCTTCTAGATTTCGGGCCGCAGAAGTCATATCCGCTTTAACTTTTTCGATAACTCGAATGGTTTTTCCAGAACCGACTTTTAAAAAGTACAAATTGCAAAATACGACCAATTTGCGACCAATTTTTAACAAAATTTTCGAAATTTCAGTTAATACATTTTCTTGTAGATTTCGAGCTGTAGAACTCATTTCCGGTGTCGTTTCTTTGATAACTGCAACCGTTTTTCCAGAATCGACCGTTGAAATATCGAAATTTTTAGAAATTCTCAAAAATTGGCATTTCGTACCGATTCTTTCGAAAATGTTGCTCCGTGTCCATCAACATGCTATATTTTTGGAATCAGCATGTCGAGATCTACGTCCTTGAATTTTTTCACAATTTTTAGACAACTTTTTTAAAAATGAAAATTTTTCAATGGTCCCCCCTTCTTCAAATTTCGGCCAAATTTTGACATTTTCGAAACTTAACTAAATACATTTTCTTGCAGATTTCGAGCTGTAGAACTGATTTCCGGTGTCCTTTTTTTGATAAGTGCAACCGTTTTTCCAGAATCGACCGTTGAAATATCTAAATTTTTAGAAGTTCTCAAAAATTCGCATTTCGTACCGATTCTTTCGAAAATTTTGCTCCGTGTCCACCAACATGCTACATTTTTGGAATCAGCATGTCGAGATCTAGGTCCCTGAATTTTTTCACAATTTTTAGACAACTTTTTTAAAAGTGAAAATTTTTCAATGGTCCCCCCTTCTTCAAATTTCGGCCAAATTTTGACATTTTCGAAACTTAACCAAATACATTTTCTTGTAGATTTCGAGCTCTAGAACACACTTCCGGTCTCGTTTCTTTGACAACTGCAACCGTTTTTTCAGAATCGGCCTTTGAAATATCGAAATTTTTAGAAATTCTCAAAAATTCGCATTTAGTACCGATTCTTTCGAAAATGTTGCTCCGTGTCCATCAACACGCTATATTTTTGGAATCAGCATGTCGCGATCTACGTCCTTGAATTTTTTCACAATTTTTAGACAACTTTTTTAAAAGTGAAAATTTTTCAATGGTCCTCCCTTCTTCAAAACTGGGCCAAATTTTGACATTTTCGAAACTTAACTAAATACATTTTCTTGTAGATTTCGAGCTCTAGAACACACTTCCGGTTTCGTTTGTTTGATAACTGCAACCGTTTTTTCAGAATCGACCGTTGAAATATCGAAATTTTTAGAAATTCTCAAAAATTCGCATTTCGTACCGATTCTTTCGAAAATGTTGCTCCGTGTCCATCAACATGCTATATTTTTGGAATCAGCATGTCGAGATCTACGTCCCTGAATTTTTTCACAATTTTTAGACAACTTTTTTAAAAGTGAAAATTTTTCAATTCTTGTCCCGGGGCTTCTAATTAATAAAGAGTGCAAATTTCAAGAGATTCCGTGGCCGAATAAGCAAATTAGGATGATATGACCCAATTCGGAAAATTTTCGACAGTGAAAAAAATTTGTCGACTTTTTTACTTTAACACGACTGCTCAATTCTGAAGTTGTTGAAACAAACAAAAGCGGCGCCAGTGCAGTTTACCAATTCCTCGCTTATTTTACCGAACCATAACCTGCCGGTTTTAATCCGCAAAGTGCTTTCCCTAAAAAACAAACTCGATTTCGGTCTTCCGGGAAAGCTTTCAGTTTCTCTTTCACGCAGAAATCACCAATTCAAACATCTCGTCTACTAATAACCTACCGGACCCCTGTTCGATTGCTCGTTTCGCTCCACAATTAGTGTCAAAAATCTCCCCTTATCACCGTGTTTATTAAGATGAACACGCCATGTCCCGTACCCAGATAAACAATATCATTACGTACGTCAACTCATCTGTATGATTTATCGTCACAAATCAAACCCAATCCAAACCTAAGAACCGTGAAGCATCATAGATTTATTATCGACCTACATCACGTACGAACCCCGTCAACGTTTCGGTGAAACCCCACCGGACCAGGACTCTTCGCCCATTAAAAAGTTTCAATTTTACAACGCAGTCGCCGGCTTAATAAATAATTAAATGCATCGATTTTCCGGCAAAAGCAACGCTACAAATAATTTATAAATAAGCGGGCCGTCCTTACGTAACGCCGCAATTATTTCGAATAAATTATCGCGAACTTTAAGAATGAGTGAAAGTGGCGTAAGCTGATTAAAGGGTTTTTATTCTAGGCGTGTACGATAAATCGTCACGGCGAAGACGTTGACGTCTCAATGCTCTTTTCAATAAAACTGAACGGCGATTATGAATGCGCGACACAAAATCGTTTGAAATGTTGGACGGGTTATCTGGCGACAATGAAGTGTGCCGAGAAGATGTGCCGATGCATATCTAACTCATCCCGTAATTGTATTAATCCCGTGCCGGCCATGGATGTAATGGAACGCATTACGTTACGCAACGAGCTAGATGCTCTCGGCCAGTCGAGAAGTTGAGTTGAATACACTCGGCGGTAGAAGCGACGTTATCGTTTATCATTTCAATTGCCAGGATTATAACTAATGACAGCTGTTAACTACTCCACCGATTATTTCGAAACGGTCGTTATTTATTACAATAAATTACAGATAATCGATCTAATAACCCAGAGATTTTTTATGAATTCGTTAATTCAATTTGGCGGCCTATTACACTAAATAATGACAAGTGACGTTTATGGACGTCGTTTCGCAACACCATACATATAAAACTTGCACTTTTATTAACAACAACCATAAACGCCACCACAATTCTTTAATAAATATTAATGAAGTTCTCGGTTTGCGCGTGCGATTTTTTAATTGGATCGTGTCGTAAATTTATTAACGCCTGGAAATTTTCGGATTTTAGTAAGTGTACAAAGCTTTCGTCGACTCGATTCCGGCGAAAATAAAGTGCACTGAGGTTTTTCAAATGTGGACGGTAAACACATTTAAATTTAATTGAGTTGCTGGTGATTGAGTGAGAAACGCTCCAACGAAAAGGCGGTTTATTATCGAAAAATACACTTTCGATTGAAGGAGTTTTAATTTGTTGTTGCTTGATATCCTTTCATGTCTTGTCTAATTGCCGCGCAAACACAGCCGGCTTTTCTCTTTAAAAATGAACGCCAGGTGTATTTGTCTGTTTACTCATTGATTCTTATGCCTAAACAAATAACTGAATTATTTAAGCACACAATTTCGGTCGCCGTATTTGATTAATAAAACAACGAACTAGTTCGAATCGTGGGTAATATTTCCAGCGACCGCATAGTTACTGGGTTTTTTTGATGATATTCCGTCGATAAATTATTGAAGAAATAGAAGAGTAAAGAGCATAACTTGTATAAAATATTTACGGTTGGATTATACATTAATTTAAGTTCAACAAACAATCGATAGAATAATAATTATCGGGGTTTCTTGACGAAAGAGTTACAAGATCGTAAATTTATTTTCAGCGAGCGAAGCGAGCTGTATTTATTTAAACCACTTCTAAACGTTGGCGTAAAAAAATTCTCAATTTATAGAAATTCAGATGTACAAATTTTTTTGGCGCCCCGGAGAAGGTTTTATAATTAAAAAGAAGGTTTTGGGACTCCCGAGAAAGTTTCACATTCTTAAAAAAAATACGTGTGGAGCCCCCAAGAAGGTTTTTACATTTTTAGAAAAAGACAATTGGGACCCCAGATAAGGTTTAACATTAAAAAAAAGACATTTGGGCCCCCGAGGTTTTACATTTTTAAAAAACAGTTGGGACCCCCGAGAAGGTTTCACATTAAAAAAAAAACAAATTTGGGGGTCCCAAGAAGGTTTCACATTAAAAAAAAAGTGAGATCTGGGGCCTCCGAGAAGGTTATACATTTTTTAAAAAGACAGTTGGAAGCCCCGAGAAAGTTTGACATTCTTAAAAAAGATATTTCCCCCCGAGAAGAGGTTTCATGTTTTTAAAAAAATACACGTGGGGCCCCCAAGAAGGATTCACATTAAAAAAAGACATTTGAGACCCCCGAGAAGGTTTTACATTTTTAAAAAAGACAGTTGGGACCCCCGAGAAAGTTTGACATTCTTAAAAAAATATTTGGCGCCCCCGAGAAGGTTTTTACATTTTCAGAAAATATATTTGGGACTCCCGAGAAGGTTTTACATTTTCAAAAAAGACAGTTGGGACTCCCGAGAAGGTTTTACATTTTCAAAAAAGAGTTGGAACTCCCGAGAAGATTTTACATTTTCAAAAAAGCCAGTTGGGACTCCCGAGAAGGTTCTACATTTTCAAAAAATATATTTGGGACTCCCGAGAAGGTTTTACATTTTCAAAAATGCCAGTTGGGACTCCCGAGAAGGTTTTACATTTTCAAAAAAGCCAGTTGGGACTCCTGAGAAGGTTTTACATTTTCAAAAAAGCCAGTTGGGACCCCCGAGAAAATTTGACATTTTTAAAAAAGACAGTTGGAACTCCCGAGAAGATGTTCCATTTTCAAAAAACCCAGTTGGAACTCCCGAGAAGGTTTTACATTTTCAAAAAAGACAGTTGGGACTCCCAGGAAGATTTTACATTTTAAAAAAAGTCAGTTGGGACTCCCGAGAAGGTTTTACATTTTCAAAAAAGCCAGTTGGGACTCCCGAGAAGGTTTTACATTTTGAAAAAAGCCAGTTGGGACTCCCGAGGTTTGACATTTTTAAAAAAGACAGTTGGGATTCCGGAGAAAGTTTCACATTCTTAAAAAAAATACATGTGGAACCCTCGACAAGGTTTTACATTTTTAAAAAAAGACAATTGGGACCCCCGAGAAGGTTTTACATTTTCAAAAGACAGTTGGGACTCCCGAAAAGGTTTTACATTTTCAAAAAAGACAGTTGGAAGTCCCGAGAAGATTTTGCATTTTCAAAAAACCCAGTTGGGACTCCCGAGAAGGTTTTACATTTTCAAAAAAGACAGCTGGGACTCCCGAGAAGATTTTTACATTTAAAAAAGTCAGTTGGGACTTCCGAGAAGGTTTTACATTTTCAAAAAAGACTGTTGGGACTCCCGAGAAGGTTTTACATTTTCAAAAAAGCCAGTTGGGACTCCCGAGAAGGTTTTACATTTTCAAAAGACAGTTGGGGCTCTCGAGAAAGTTTCACATTCTTGAAAAAATACATGTGGGGCCTCCGAGAAGGTTTTACATTTTTAAAAAGACAGTTAAGGACCCTCGACAAGGTTTCACATTGTTAAAAATATACACATGGAGCCCCCGAGAAGATTTTATATTTTTAAAAAGACAGTTAGGATCCCCGACAAGGTTTTACATTGTAAAAAAGAAATATTTGGGACCCCCCGAGAAGGTTTTACATTTTCAAAAAAACTAGTTGGGACTCCCGAGAAGGTTTTACATTTTCAAAAAAGACAGTTGGGACTCCCAAGAAGGTTTTACATTTTCAAAAAAGAGTTGGAACTCCCGAGAAGATTTTACATTTTCAAAAAAGCCAGTTGGGACTCCCGAGAAGGTTCTACATTTTCAAAAAAATATATTTGGGACCCCCGAGAAGGTTTTACATTTTCAAAAATGCCAGTTGGGACTCCCGAGAAGGTTTTACATTTTCAAAAAAGCCATTTGGGACTCCCGAGAAGGTTTTACATTTTCAAAAAAGCCAGTTGGGACTCCCGAGAAGGTTTTTCATTTTCAAAAAACCCAGTTGGGACTCCCGAGAAGGTTTTACATTTTCAAAAAAGCCAGTTGGGACCCCCGAGAAAATTTGACATTTTTAAAAAAGACAGTTGGAACTCCCGAGAAGATGTTTCATTTTCAAAAAACCCAGTTGGGACTATTGAGAAGGTTTTACATTTTCAAAAAAGCCAGTTGGGACTCAAGAGAAGGTTTGACATTTTTAAAAAAAATACATGTGGAACCCCCGACAAGGTTTTACATTTTTAAAAAAAGACAATTGGGACCCCCGAGAAGGTTTTCCATTTTCAAAAGACAGTTGGGACTTCCGAAAAGATTTTACATTTTCAAAAAAGACAGTTGGAAGTTCCAAGAAGATTTTGCATTTTCAAAAAACCCAGTTGGGACTCCCGACAAGGTTTTACATTTTCAAAAAAGACAGTTGGGACTCCCGAGAAGATTTTTACATTTAAAAAAGTCAGTTGGGACTTCCGAGAAGGTTTTACATTTTCAAAAAAGCCATTTGGGACTCCCGAGAAGGTTTTACATTTTCAAAAGACAGTTGGGGCTCTCGAGAAGGTTTCACATTCTTGAAAAAATACATGTGGGGCCTCCGAGAAAGTTTTACATTTTTAAAAAGACAGTTAAGGACCCTCGGCAAGGTTTCACATTGTTAAAAATATATACACGGAGCCCCCGAGAAGGTTTTACATTTTCAAAAGACAGTTGGGGCTCTCGAGAAGGTTTCACATTAAAAAAGAGACATTTGGGGCCTCCGGGAAGGTTTTAAATTTTTTAAAAAGACAGTTAGGACCCCCGACAGGGTTTCACATTCTTAAAAAAATACATAAGGGTCATTATTTCCTATAAACTCACTGCGCCACGTAGAGGTACGAACCGCGTCGGGAGTAAAACGTTATTATACCTTGCAAATGTTTCTGCGAAAATTTGAACGTAAAATTTGTATAAGGAAATATGTATCGAGTTTGCCCAATAATTGCGAAATCCATATTTCCTTGAAAAAGTGTACCGTTTTAACCGTGTTTTAAGTTTCTTATTGTGAAAATATGGCTATGTGTATTAAGAAAATATATATATATTTTTTTTGTATTTTTTATAGCAAAATATTATTGCTTAATTTTTTTAATGTGGGTCCAAATTCGTCCCATGAACCGTAATTTGACAAACATAAAAACAATGTCCTGCTCAGGATTTGTAAGCGATAGATCATTATTAGACAAGAAGAATAACAAAGGAGTCAGCACTAACCCTTGTCTTAGTGTTTTTAGTATGATCCCTAAAAAAATTAGTTTTCTTGCTCCCCAAGACTTCGACAATGAATCCATTAACCAATTTGCGTATTGTAATAGCCGTTTTAAGAGCATTTTTTAGGTTCCACACTTTTTAGAAACCCTGTTCAGAGGTACTCACGAGATCCTTGCGACTTCCACTATTTTCGAGGTTATGTGGATAATACGTCATTATAGAATCATTGTTAATTTATAATTAGTTTGGAGTTCTATTATATTTCAAACTTTAATAAGAGAAATAATCCGACAAATGTCAGAATTACTAGAAATTTTGGTACTTATTTTTTCTAGCCATCTAGATAAGCAGAAGTAACTGGACATTATTTTAAAAAATATTTGATAGTAAGTGACAAATAATAATAATACGTTGTCTGGTCAAGTGTCAAATCTTTCGAATTTTTTATTTTAAAAATTGGTTACAATGTAGAAAAAAATGCCTCTGCATAATGACGCAATCATAAATTATTAAATTATGTATTCCCAAAATTGATTTAAGTAATTTAAATTTAATTATAAATTTCCTTGTTGATGTTGCTTTTGATAGTAACTTTGATGTTCACCTTCTGCCATATTTAAAAGGGTTGTAAAAGAAAAGTGTGGGATTTAAGTTGACTACTACAAAAGTTTACCATTTTATACATGTTGTAAGTTTCTTGTTGTCGAAATAAGTCTACACATATTAAGAAAACAAGGCAAAATGTAGCCCCGCCCACCCGCCCAATCTCAATTGTAATGATTTTTTTATTCGTCGTGAACCAAGGGGGCGGAGCTTAACTGCAAAATCCTTACTTCCCTACGAAAAATTAAAAACAGGTTTTTGACTATCGTATTGTTCAAAGAATACTTGTATGTTAAGAAAAAAATATAGGCAAATACCGTCTTAATTATGCTGTGCTCGCATGGAGACCTCTAACACGACTGATGTTTACGGTCTCCGGCTAAATTCCACTTTATTAGAAAAGTTCTGATCTAATAAAATTAATGTCAGATTCGGATTTACCGACACACAAAAATATCGCTTCGAAAACCACCCTAAAACCCGGCCAACATCACTAAATTCGTTACACGATTTTAAAGATAATAATTTTTTATAGTACCGAATACACATACCATGTAAGTAAATATTTTTCTTTCTGTATTTTGTTTTTCTGTATCCAAGCGAAAGCGAATAACAATGAGGTTTCGACTGATGTGTGCAAACAAGCTTTACGCCGCTCCTGTAAATAAAATATGACAGAAACGAATTCATATCGTCGAAAAATAAATCCCGTCCTGAGCAATTATAACCCAATTCTTTGTTAGTTTTGATGTAACCTGGCAGGTTTCAGTGACATCTAGCGAAGTCGCGTTCCAGACCGACAAACCTGGGCGGTGGCTGCTATCGACATTAAAACGAAACGCACTCTTTACGTAAAATTGAAATTTCATTACTAATAGAACTCGCGTTTTCGTAAATCCACGCTTTCGTAATTAAAAACCCTTCAACACACCACCATCTCTGATCACATTTATCGATCCACACCGTTTTCGAAACTCTACCTGCTGCCACATCAGCTCCTGGAAATCCCTGGCGAAGAGCGTCGCGATGGTGACGTGAGCGCAGCACAGCAGCAGCCCGAAGATGGCCGCGATCCACGACTTGAGCGGCATCATCGCGTAGGCCAGGAACACCACGAACACCACCTGCCACGTACCCTCGGCCGCCACCTTCGCCGTCGAGCTCTCGGGGTACAGCGGCAGCGCCAGCGCGCAGAAGATGGCCAGGAAGAACAGCACCACGTAGCAGACCCAGAGCAAGTACGCGTCCTGCATGAACCGCGTGTGCAGGAAGCCCAGCAGCAGGGCGAAGAGGATACAATGGGCGGCGTGGTACACGTTCTGGGCGGTGGGGCCTTGCGCGTAGATCAACCCCAGGTTGGCCAGCAGCGCCGTCAGCACCACGAAGATGGCCACCACGGCCGCCACGCTGGAGTGCTGCAGTTTGCAGATGTAGCGCTGGTAGAGCTGCTCCAGCTCGTCGTTCTCGAAGCGGTGCGGGTTGAGCACCCGGGTGAGGATGCGAGGGGACGTCATGGCCTTGACGCTGTGGTCCATGGCTGCGATCCCTCAAGACGACTTGATGCGCTGCTTGCGTCGCCGGGCCATGTCTGCAAGAAAAAAATAATCGGAGGTAATTTCGACAATTCCAAGATGTTTTTTGGATTTTTCAATTTTTTTTGTTTTCAATTTTTCGTTGTTTCAATTTTTGATTTGCAGGTTTTCTAATTTTCATTTTAGATATGTAATAATAATTATAATTTTTATTAGAGTTGTTCACTTTTTCAATTTTTCGTTTTTAGAATTTTTTAATTTTTCGATCTTTGAATGTTAGTTTTTGGACTTTACGAACATTTTTCGATTTAATTCGTTCTTTGATTCATTAATTTTTTCTCGATTTCTAGTTTTTCAATGTTTCTATTTTTCGTTTCTTCAGTTCTACAATTTTCTCAAATAAATGTTATCTAAATTATAAAAAAAGTAACAGTGTACCTATGGTATATGAATCCGTGTTGAATTTTTATCTTCGACATCGAAATTTTTGTGGAAAAATAAAGCAAAATTGAATTACAATTTTTCGATTTCTTGATTTCTCGATATTTAATTTACTTAATTGTTCGATATTTCAGTTTTACAATTTTTGCAATTTAAAAAAAAATCATTTTTACATTTCTCAATTTCTCTATTAATCAATTCTTTGATTTTTCGATTTTTCCTCTTTCCAATTTATCGATTTTTCAGTTTTTCGATTTCTCAAGTATTCGTTGTTCCAATTTTGGGATTTTTCAATATCTCCAATTTTTTAATTTAAAATTTTTCACTTTTTTGATATATCGATTTCTCGATCTTTCGATTTTTAAAATTTCTGATTTTTCGAATTTTGAATATTTTGATTTATCGTTTTTTTCAGTTTTAAATTTTCCGGTTTTTCGATTTCGGGCTATTTCGATTTCTCCATTTCTCGGATCTTTTGATGTCTCAATTTTTTAATTTCGATTTCTCGGTTGAAAAATGGAAAACATTTTTCAATTTTTTATTTCTTCAAGTTTTTAGATTTTTAAAATTCTCCATTTTTCGAATTTATGTTTTGTTATGCTTCGATCTCCCGATTTTAACCTTTTTAACGTGTATTCCAATTTTTCGATTTTGGAATTTTCAATTTCTTACATCTCGATTTTTCGTTTTTTCGATTTTAAAATGTTTTTACTTTTCGTTCTTTTTCGATTCTGGATTTTTAAGTTTTCAATTTCTCAATTTTTCAACATTTCAATTTTGAGAATGTCTATATTTTTAAGTTTTTTGATATTTTCATTTTTCAACTTTTTAAATTTTGATTTTTCGACTTACCGGAAATCGATTTTTGGGTTTTTCAATTTTTCGACTTTTCAGTTTTGAGATTTTTCAATTTGTCGATTTTTTGGTTTTTCATTTCTTCAGTTTTTCGGTTTTTCAAGTTTTCGAATTTTTAAATTTAAAATTTTTCAATTTATCGATTTTATTTTTTTTACGTTCCGAATACCCGATTTTAATTTTTTTATGCTTTTCAATTTTTGGTTTTTCTAAATTTTCATTTTTCCATTTCCCAATTTCTCGATTTTTCGACTTTTTGATTTTGTGTTTTTTTTAAATGTTAAATTTTTCGTTATTGTAATTTTTCTATTTTTTAAATTTTAGATAATTAGATTTTTCGACATCTTGAATTCTCGATTTTTTTCAGTTTGAATTCCTCGGTTTTTCGATTTTCCAAAATTTCGATTTCTCGATTTTTCAGTTTTTGATTTTCCAACTTTTAGATGTTTCAAATTTTAGAGTTTGCAAATTTCACGAGTTTACAGATTTTAATTTCGTCAATTTTTCCTGAGGATTTTTAATTTTCTTTATTTTTTCAATTTTATGCTTTCAATTTTCCGTTTTTTTTAATTTTTCATTTGCAGTTTTTCTAGTTTTCATTTTAATTATGTAACACTCCTAATAATTATAATTTTTAAAGTTGTTCACTTTTTCAGTTTTTCGTTTTTGGAATTTTTCAATTTTTCGGTGTTTCAATGTCACAGTTTTTGGACTTTACAATTTTCAAGATTCTATAATTTTTCGATTTTACAATTTTTGGATTTTCCAATTTTTCAATTCGAATTGTTTTTCTTCTTTCCCATTCTTCGATTCATTAATTTTTTTTTTTAGATTTTTAAGTTTCTCGGTTTTTAGTTTTTCACTGTTTCAATTTTTCATTTTTTCGGGTTTTTAACTTTTCGAATAAACAAAATCGAAAAATTATAAAATAGAAAAATTGTCAAACTGAAAAAGCACAAAATGAAAGCTTCGAAATATAAAAAAATTGGAAATCAAGAACTTAAAAAATCAAAGATTGAAAATGGAAAAAATTGAATAAACAAAAAATTATAAAATCCAAAGAAACATTGAAAAAATAAAGACAATGGAAAAATGAAAAATTGTGATATAAATCAAGAAAATGAAAATTACAAAATCGGGAAAATGAAAATATCGAAAATCTGAAAAATATAGAAATTGAAAAATTCCCAAAATTGCGATGTTTAAAATTGAGATAGCGAAAACTTAAAAATCGAGAAATTGAAAATTCCAAAAATGGAAAAATTGAAACACATTAAAAAATTAAAATCGGGAAATCGAAACATAAAGATTATAAAAGGGAAAAATGAAAAATTTAAAAAATCGAAAATTTTGAAAATCGAAAAAGCAAGAAATCGAAATCGAAAACTTGAGACTTCAAAAGATCGAGAAACCGAAATAGGCCGAAATCGGAAAATTCAAAATTGAAATATTTACTTAAAAAAAAGATAAACGGAAAAATCGAAAAACTCAAAAAAATCGATAAACTGGACAGAAATAAAATTAGTCGTTAAATGAGAAGTGAGGGTGGGTGGGTGGGGTAATATTTGGCAAGATAAGACAGATTTTGGCAGATGACAATCCTACAAAAAAATAGAGGGTGGGTGGGCGGGGCTAATATTTGATAAGACAAGATTGGATTTTGGCACTTTTGACATATTCGACCAACAAAAAGTCACGATTAGCGCTTTTTTTACTGTTTTTACATCCTAGATTCTATTAGTTTCCACTCCTACTCGACAGAAGAACATAATTAGCCCCGCCCACTCACCCTGTCTCCTTTTCAGTGGTTGATTTTATCCAATTTGAATGAAAGTAATGACCTTATAAACAGAAATAAAATTAGTCGTTAGAATGAGAAGAGGGGGTGGGCGCACGGGGCTAATATTTGCTAAGATAAGACTGATTTTGGCATTTTTGACATATTCGACCAAAAAAAAGTTAGGATTAGTGCTTTTTTTACTTTTTTCACATCCTAGATTCTATTAGTTGGCACTCCCACTCGAGAAAAGAACATAATTAGCCCCGCCCACCCACCCGGCCTCTATTTCGGTGATTGGTTTTATACGCTCTGAATGGATGGAATGATCTTATATTGAACAGAAATAAAATTAGTCGTTAGAATGAGGAGAGGGGGTGGGTGGGTGGAGCTAATATTTTCTAAGATAAGACAGATTTTGGCAGATGACATATCCTACAAGAAAAAGAGGGTGGGTGGGCGGGGCTAGTATTTGATAAGATAAGACTGATTTTGGCACTTGACATATTCGACCAAAAAAAAGTTAGGATTAGTGCTTTTTTTACTTTATTCACATCCTAGATTCTATTAGTTTCCACTCCTACTCGACAGAAGAACAAAATTAGCCCCGCCCACCCACCCTGTCTCCATTTCGGTGATTGGTTTATCTGCTCTGAATGGATGGAATGATCTTATACTGGACAGAAATAAAATTAGTCGTTAGAATGAGAAGGGAGTTGGGGCTAATATTTCCCAACATAAGACAGATTTTGGCAGATGACATCCTACAAGAAAATAGAGGGTGGGTGGGCGGGGCTAATATTTGATAAGACAAGACTGGATTTTGGCACTTTTGACATATTCGACCAAAAAAAAGTCACGATTAGCGTTTTTTTTACTGTTTTTACATCCTAGATTCTATTACTTTCCACTCCTACTCGACAGAAGAACATAATTATGAGAAACAGAAAATTCCAAAAATCGAAAAATTGAAATACAGATTAAAAAGTTTAAAAAATCGAAGTTAAAAAATCGTAAAAACAAATTCCATTCGATTTTCCGTTTTATCGATTTTGCATTTTTTGTTTCTTCAATTTTTTCCAATTTTTTAATTTTCCGATTTTTCAATTTTTCGCATTTTCTACTTTCCGAATAAACAAAATGGAAACGTTATAAAATAGAAAAATTGTAAAATTGAAAACTCAAAATGAAAAAACGCAAAAGTATAAAATGAAGGCTTCGAGAAATCTAAAAACTTGACAAATTGAAGAAACGGAAAATTCAAAAATCGAAAAATTAAAAATTGAGAAACTTAAAGATCGAAAAATTGCGGTCGAAAACAGGAAAATTATTGTAAAATCTAAATATTGAAAATTGGAAAATCGAGGAATTGAAAATGTGAAAAATTGAATAAACGAAAAATTGTGATATCAAATCCAGAAAATGAAAATTAAAAAATCGGGAAAATGGTATAAAAAAAATGGAGAACTTGAAACAACATCATTACGCCGAATATGTTCATTGCGCTACACATAACCTCAATTTAGTTCTTAATGATTCTGTTAAGAATGTACCAGGAATTTCCGCATTTTATGATTTTTAATAAATGCTATATACGTCTATTTCAGTGAGAGTTTACCGAGATGGCAACAACTTAACATTGAGATGAAAGAAAATGATAAGTGTGTTATAAAAAAAACTTTAAAAAAGTTATGCCCCACCAGATGGTCATCGAGATTTGATTCTCTAATTGCCATTAGATATAATCTCTCAACAGTTATGAGCTGAAATTATTTTAACATCAAAAAAGAAAAGTGAAATAGATGAAGCTGTAGCTCTTCGTAAAAAAACGGATTCATTTGAATTTGTTGCTCTATTAGTATTTCAATGCAAAATTTTAGAAAATGTTAATTTGGTCTCAAAAACTTTACAGAGTTCAAATATTACTTTAGATGAGGCTTGTAAATGGATGGAAGATCTAAAAGACAAATTTCAAAGTATACG